TAGTGGTCAGGATTCAGAGAGCAAAGATGTAGGCATGTGCGAATAGTGGTTTTTAAGTTCGAAGCGAATACGAAGCGAATATTAATTTTTCTCGAATAATTTCGAAGCGAATAATTCGAATAGTTGAGGGAAAAAGTGATTGGAAATCGAACACCATAATAAAATGCTGACCATTTATTCTCAACACAAACACACGAAAGTCAATAAACCTCTGCTGAGGAGGAAGAGTCAGGCGTTCTCATGCAGAAACACAAGCTGCTGAACATGATCAGGTAGCAGAAGCTCCCTCTTGCAGTTCACAATGGCTCCCGCAGTTGAAAATAACCTTTCACTCGTCGTCTGTGTTGCTGGGATTGACAGATACCTAGGGGCAACGCTGACCAGAGATTGATATAGGTGGTTTCCCTTTGACTTCCACCACACCAGAGGGTCTTCAGTGCGTCCTAGGAGAGGGCTCTTCAAATACTCGGCTGCCTCGTCTGCGCCTTGTCGGGCCTGTCTTGCGACATGCGGCAGAACTAAGACTCGAAAAGACACCCCACACGGAGTCTTCCGGCAAGTACCCCAGGCCTGTGCTAGTTCCAGCCGTTTCATCATGGAGGTCATTTTTGACATGCTGTCTTCCACAGCTTTTGACAGGAGACTGCGTGCCCATTTTGTTTTTCATTTTCTTCAATGTAGCAAATGTCATTGAACCTAGGGTCCACCAACATGGCCAGCGCTGGAAGGCGCGACATCTTCAAATCCGGGAATCTTGCCCCGATGCTTCGTAGCAGGCTCGAGGCAAGTGATGCTGCCTCATCAGTAGAGTGTTCAGTCAGGACAAGCCTGGAGCAGTGCAGCAGTGGAATGACTTGTGACAGCGTTGAGTAGCTGTCCCCTGACAAATCAGTTGTTGCTTGCTCAAGGGGCTGCAGGACCTTCACTGCTCCACTCATGAGCTTCCACTCACTTGAATTCAGGTTTTCAAAAGTCTCACATTCAGAAAGCTCAACCGTGACAGGCACACGAAGTTTCATGAGCCTGGCCATCATGGCATGCTCATTATTCCAGCGTGTTGGCACATCCTGCACAACTTCTAGTGGATCTAGTTGCATGTTCTTTTGGATCTCCATAAGGCGTCCACGGGCCTTCGCACTTCTCTTGTATCGGCCCACGATGGCTCTGGCTTTAGCACGGAGCTCCGAGAACCCCGCTACTTCTTTCTATCACTGACGCACAACTGGAGAGTGTGTCCGAAACACTGCACGCCCCACCAGGGCGACCTCGCCATCGCAGATGTGAAGTTCCTCCCGTTATCGGTTACGACGTAGATTGGCAAGTTACCTAATGCTGGGAGCTCCCACTCTTCGATGACGCTCTCGATAAACCATACCAGGTTATCGGCCGTGTGGGAATTGCTCATCTCCGTGCATGCCAAAGCGTGCACATGCTGCCCGAAGTCTTTGTCCGTCACGTGGACAGTCAAACAGACGTAGCTGTTGTTCGCGCGCGATGTCCAGCCATCCGTGATGAGGGAGTAGCACTCCGCACCTCTGCTGAAAATCTCCAGCAACTTTCTCTTAACTTCCTTTTTCTTCGACTCGTAGAGGTTCGGGATAACTGCTCGTGAAAAAGTCGTCTGCGACGGCACACTGTAGACTGGCATGGCAAATGCCACCATGTCAACGAAGCCTCCTTCTTCAACGACGCTGTATGGGTGCATTCTGCGAGCGATGAAGTTAGCAATTATCGTCGTCATGTGCTTTGCTCTTGGTCTTGTTGGTTTCATCTTCTGCTTGAAGCTGTCGGCTACCAATGGCTGCCTCGGCGTACTCACGCTCTTGAGCTTGGCAGTATTTTTGCGTGCTTGACGTTCTTCCATGTAGGCCTGATACACATCCGGGTGCCTCTTTAGATGGGACACTAAGGTGGTCGTTGTACCCGTTGGAGTCTTGAGGATTGCCTTGCCCTTGATGCATCGAGCACTAGTCACCGGTGAGATCTTTAAGAAATAGTTCCAGATCGGGTTGCGGTGCACAACGCCATCACTTTCGTCGTCCACGGTGGCCGCAGCAGCCACGCCAGCTATTCAATCCAGCTTCTACAGTGAGCAAATGGAAACCTAGCAGTACAACAAGAGTACGCCGAGCACATTCTGTCCGCCGCAAGAAACACAAGCAGAACGGACTTCCCAGTTCAGTGGTTCACTTTCGTTTCGTTCTCGGTCACGGATATGACTTTGTTCCCTTTTTCTTTTTCTTCCTAATGTTGATGCCCATGCGGCTTTCGCTAAAAAGAAAAAAACCGCTCGACGCGACATTTCGAAGGCGTCGCGATACCGAAACCGAAACTATCGGAAGCAGCCTTGCGTCCGCTATTCGTTAGTGCCGAATACTTCGAAAATTGCGAATATAAGAAATCGGATCGAAGCGAATATCGAATAATGTACAATTCGTTCGAATATTCGAAAAAACCGAATATTCGCACATGCCTACAAAGATGTAATGCAACACATATGAAGCAACAGACAAAAATGAAAAGATTATGTTTCAGCACATGAACCCAACAGCTAGCAAGAAATCACCACCTTGAGATAGACCCTCAATTTTGCGCTCTCGAGCTAGAGGGAAATCATTTCTGTATGTCTACTTCCGATTTCCTTACGAATCTCACTTAATTCGCAAAGCAGCAAGACCGCAGAAAAGAATATGACCGTTTTCAAAGTCATAATTCCTGTTTAAACAGTTTCTGTAGAACAAAGCATGTGCTCATTTAACAGCAAGTACAACAGTTTGTTTATGAACACATTTTAATTAGTTTTTGCCACCTATTGGACCAGTCACCCCATCCTTCAATACTTCTGAACATGCCCTCACCTTAGTTGACCCTAAAACCGAAGTTAAATACTGTACAAACTTGAATCATCCCCAAGCTATGTCCAACAAAAACTTGCACACATGCTACATTTAAGTCCTCTTTAGACCATAATCACACATTACCAGTGCACACTATTGGCTTACTAAATATTATTTTATTATTTTCTCACTGCACTTTTTTTATAGTTTATTTTAATTTGTATATTGGATATGACATTGTATTATGGTTCCTCCATGTACATTCACCCGTGCAGTTAAATTATGCTCACCCTATATTTTTCTGCGAGTTGCTGTTTGTTCTTAAACCGCCCCACCAACCAACGTTTCATCTTCAAACAGGACTAAGCAGAATACTAAAGTTCTTCATGGAAGTATTACTAAATGTTAATCCCCAGGCAGGAAATCCTCCAGACAGCAAAGCCAACCAAGCGGGTTGCGTGCAGGCTGCGGCGCAGTCGAGCCGTGGCTTCGAGCTGTCAGCCGAATCTCGCAATGGCTCCGAGTCAAGAGGGCCGAAATTCCCAAGTCGCAAACTTTATTTCAGTGACAGTGCAAAGAGTACCGGAGCATGACCTGGTCATGGTAAGGTGGACGGCTGCGCCTTTCCATGACCACTGCTCTTGTCATCCTTGCCCCGCAACTGCAACAAATTTCGCAAAATCAGAAAAAGAGACGCTCTTGCGGTCTGCAACGGAAAGAAAGGCGAAAAGCGCATGCAAAGGCGTCTATGCATGACTAGAACGAAGGCCGGAGCCTCGACGACGAGAGCGCCTCCGGAGTTCCCTCGACACTCTCAAGTCGGCGGCCTCGCGACTAGACGCACACACGCTGAAATGTCGCGACGCCACTCCCATCCGGCAAACAACGAGCGAACAGAACCGATGGAGACTGTAGCACATCCAAGACACACTCTTGTGACGTCTCCCACAACCAAGATTTGAACGCCTTGAGGCACCGACTCAAGCATTCTCTTCTTTTTTCCCTTTTCTTTCCCGAGGCATAGTCCCTCCGCTAGTTGCACTGGCCTCGTCTTTTTCTACATCGATGCCGTCCTCAGACTTGACTTTTGGCTCCTTGAACCGTTTCACTCCGTCCAAACGATCTTCGGGACGGGCTTCAAAAAGAGCCGAACTTGCCGGCGGCTCTAAGGACGCGGGTGGTTGAGGCCCGGGCGATCGAGACGTTGCGGGTTGAGGCACGGCCTGTCGAGATTCGGACAGCTCGGACACGGACGACTGAGGCGCGGCACTCCGTCCCGACTCTGAACCGTCCGCACCCAAAACAAAGGAAAGAGCTGGGACGAGCTCCGATTCGCCACAGGTGCAGTCTGACGCTGGCAAAGTCTCGCTGGCACGAACCGCCGGCGCGTCCTCCGCGTCGCTCGTCGACACCTCGAGCTCCAAGAGGCCGGGGACGCGGACGGCGGCCTCGGCAGACGACGAAGACGTCACACGCGGAGTGTTGAGACGGAGGCACGCTGCGGAGTGGCCCCCGGGCTCGAGGGGGCGCGCCCTGGCCTTGGGCGGCGGGCGAAACAGATTGCACACTTCCCTGTACTGCCGAGTGGAGCCCGGAGGAAATTCGGCGCCCTCCGGATCTGCCAGCCGAGTCCCTTCCAATTCAGAGTCCTACGAGGAGGGCAGAGAGAGAAACCGCCCTTCAGGGACGCCGGCCTCCTTCTTTCTCGGCACCCTCCGCGGCTCTCTCGCTTCCATGCGTCCTCACTCGTCCCATTTCTCCTCGGAAATTCCCGACGGCAAAAACAGTGCGATTCGACACTTGCCGCGCCAGAGTGGAACGTTGATAGAACGCTGAACGGATCGTCAAGAATTGAAAATGCCGCCGGGGCATGGACGACGGACGAGACGGACGTGCAAACCCACGACCGACAAAGGGGTAGCGCAAAATGAAGTCGACAAGGCTTCTGACGGCAGAACAACGGTTTGCTTGGATCCCATTCATTTGCCGCACGCATCCAAAAGTGTCCAATCGTCGTCGAGAAGGCCCGAGGACAAGGAGGACGGAACAAAGCGTGGGAGGGAACAAAGCTGCAGCCTAGCACAGTCGCACAGAGCGTCACCTTGCACCGAGCCCCCGCGGTAAGCGAGACGTCGGAGGAGACGGAGTGGAGGCGGTACTCACGAGTCTGCCCTCCCTGCCGAAGAGCTCGAGAAAGTTGAAGATGAACTCCCTCGACCTGTCCTCCCACTTCTGGATGAACTCGTGCCGTTTGCCCTCAAAGTTCTCCACCAGCTGCTTGCTCTTGTCCTTCAGCTCATCCATCTTGTTCTGCAGCAGGAACTTCTTCTCCTGCAGAGACAATAGAAAGCGTATTCTAAGAGCGTCGTCCGACCCAAGTCGAAAGATACAAGAAGCCGAATAATGCAAACATTAAAAATTCCAAACTCGTATTAAAAAAAAAAAAAAAAAAAAATATTGGCATTCTTTTTGGCATTTTTTATAGGCATTCTAAATGCGTTTGGTAGGTCTTTGCTCACATCCGTATGAAGCCGGTGTGTTGCGCACGGTACACACCGCGCAGAAACGCTTTTTCGTTGACTCCGGTTTGCCGCCGTGTAATGGCTACCGGTTTCCCGTCGGTACCGATCTTCCCGCTTTTGTTCTACGGCTGCGTGCCTCACCCCTCCCTCTTTGCCTCTTCACACCCGCCGCAGTTCCGGGCTCAATGAAGCCCGACGTAAAACCAGCAAGATGGAACCTTTGTAGCATGTATGACCCACTTTGCTACCGCTGAGCACACGCCGAGGAAAGTCCCCGCTCCTAGAGCGGTCACCAACTGCACGCAGAGTACGGAATCGGCGAACAAAAGTTCCATCAAGGCTGCAACGTGCCCTCGGACATGTTCAATAGCATTTATGTGTATGTTTTGACCTTGAAGTGCCAATTATGATGTGCGCAATTATCTTGTATTTGGTGTCCTTTCCCATAGAGTCCCTCATAGGACTGGCGATATTTTAAATTAAATACAAAAAAATAAATAAAGTGCCAAGAGCTGGCACTCTAGATGCTATGAATTCAGAGAATCGGCGGCAGGATGGCCATCATAAAATACTTTTCGTGTAATGCTCGTCAAATTATGAGGCGCGAGAAAATAAGCAACCTTCTGCGTTAAGTAATGTTTTCAGACTCTTTTTGTTCACGTTTTGACCATTGAAAATCACGGCAGAAGAGCCCAAGCATGCACTTGATCTCGTCGCGTTGCCACCTCCTTCCACACAATAAAGTTTGTCCGCTAAAGTCGCTGTCGTCGTGGCAACGAAGCGTTCGCTGAATGGACACACGCACAAGCGCAGACTGAATTCGGTGCTGGCTACGCTTCCAAACAAACTGCACTACACTTGGTTGACCCTCGCTTCGCTACGGTGCAAACACATTATAATTTCGGGCTCAAGCTGTCGGCAATCCTCGTCGGAAACGCCGAGGGTTTGCAAAGTGACTGCTTCCTGCCCTGGATAGTGACCATAGCAGACGGAGTTTTACAGCGGAGCTGTTAGGGGCTAGGTTCCCCAGGAGCGTGTCCGATATGTCAACACAAACCTACCTGGACAGCCACGGCCATCTATAAGCGACGGTGGCAAGCACACAACCAGTATGGTTTCCGCCGTCGCGCGTAGATGGCGCCAACCTTTCCAGCTATAATAGAAGAATGGATAGTTGGGCGTGTTGGTGGGAATTCATCGTAGGAAACAGCGCGAAAAACATATGACGATGAGGAAGAAACACAAAGTGTATCGAGTACAGCTCCGCTGGTCTTCCTTCTTCACGATAGTGGAAAGGCTGAACATATTTTTTTGTCTGTGGGAAGAATGGAGGTGTGGCGAGATTAAGTCGGTGATTGGGCCCTTTTGCTGTGCTTTTCAACGAACGAAATGTGAACAAAGAGATCAAAACAAGGACTTAATGCGGACGACAGATTTTCCCCAGCACCTAATATTTCGACGAGACTTACCAGAAGAGCATGCTTTTAGCTCAGAACCTGGACACACTGACAACTGAATGAGGGGCTCGGCAAATGCCATGCAATTAATTTTGTAAGACAGTCTTTGTCTCTAAAAAAAAATTGAAGAGTGAAAAAAAAAAAAGATTGCAGGAAGATTTCGTGGTGGATTCTTCGGGATCGCGTTAGCATGACCGTTGGGAAACGCTAACGCTGACCCCTTCGCTTTTGTCTTTCTCTTTCGCTTCCTTTATTCTTTGCTGCCTCTTTTTGGCCTCCTTACGGGCCCGGTATAAGCGTTTACCAAAGGGGGATGTGTGCGGCGTTTCCCAAGGGTCATGCTAATGGATTCCAGACAATGTCGGGATGCGACAACCATTCCCCCAGATATTCACGCACAGATTGTAGCCAAACCACTCCCCCGCAACGTGCGCCCCACACATCGCACCAATCAGAGGAAACAAGTCTGCACCCTACGCAAGAAGTACAAAAACGACCCCTGAGTCGTGTACATAGATGCGGCAGAATATAGACACCACGAGGCCTTCGCCGCAATCGCAGTTCGCAACAACTCCAACAACGCCCCACTAGATTCATCGCAGTCCGGACGCCCAACCGGAGCTGGCGGAAGAGGCGGCGATAGCGCTGGCCCTAACGCTCAAACCTACCCCCACAAGCAATCATTACTGATTCTAAAACCGCTCTCTGAAATTTCACCGCCGGAAGCACATCACTCCGCAATCCCAAGTCCAACTCGTCTGGATGCCCGCGCATTCTGTGCTCGAGGAAAATGAAGCGGCCAACGACCTAGCCCGGGAACTTACAGCTTGGCCGGGCCCGTATTCCTACTGCAGAGCCTGGTTTGTGCGAGACCGTCTGATCGGACATAACATCACAATCTATCACCTTCTCTCTCACCAGATCTATCTGCAGGCAAACAAATCCCTTAGCTTTGAACGATCCCACATCTGGTGCCAACTCCAGATGGGAGTTTTCCCCAACCCGACCACAATGACCTATATCCACCCCAGCCTTTATCCAACCTCGGTGTACCCTATACGGGGGCGCCCGGGCCAACCTGACCCACATGATCTGGGCATGTCCCCAGGATCCCTTCCCCGAAATTCCTTCCGAGGAGAGGTGGAAGGCCTCGCTTCGCAGCCCCGACCCGGAACCCTATTCCTCTCGACCCATTTCCTCAATGAATAAAGTTATTTCTCTCTTTCTCCTTTACATTCACCATCCTCCTACACACTATATGATATTTGGCTTTCCGCAAAATTTGCGGGAAACTAGAGTATAAGCGAGCTTCGTTCACATAATGGTCAACCCATAGATACTGCACGACATTAACCGCCAGCTTTTTCCGTTCTTTTAGAATCGAAGGGCTGTAATCAGAACCACTTATGTGGTGCAGAACGCTCGTTCCGGATGCTAACATAGGCAATAAAGTTTCATGTCTACAAATTCCTTTTCAAAGTAAAATGTGGAAATGTGCTGATGTCGCGTTCGCACTAACAGTGCTGAGCAACATGTACCTGCCAGTAGCACCGTCTGTCCAAGTCAACACAACATAAACCCAAGAACAAAGTATAAACTGTCGGGAGGTTTATGTGCCAAACTGACGGGGTGCACCTGGCACACAGTGGCGATAAACGAGACTTTATTTACACCACCCAGGGATATTTCGTCGTGCAGCCGAAACTGGCTTCTGTCGAAAAAAACATACTACGCACAGCCTCAAAATTAGAGTTTACATGCATCAAACTCACGAAGGTGAGCTGGCACTCCTTGGCGAAGAACGGAGGTTTAACCCTTTGACGGTCGTCGCCCTACATGTACGGCAACGATTGCACATTTGAAGGTGCCCGCTTAAACACAAAGCTGCATGCACCGCGGAAGGTGTTGCTATTTGTGATGTCTTTGGGGAACTATAAACATTATATTCGCGTAGTGTTTCGCTTCGCTGGGCTATTTATGATTTTCAAATTAGACGATCCGCGCACGTGATGCTCACTTTGCGTACTGGTTGCTCCGGCGGAAGTGCCAATGAGAGCATTGGCTTCCGATTCACACTTCCGAAGGAGAAACTCCGTAAAGCACCTTCGGTTAGGAATCCAAAGACACTGGAATGTCGTGCGTGTAAACGCGCCAAAACGAAAACGGATGGAAGAAAGGTGACAACTTTTCGCCGCCAATATTTCCGTTTGATGTTTCTAAACGTAAACAAATTGCAAGCACTGTATGTGCTCCCACTATACAATTTAAAAAAAACCTATGCATCCATGTATTCTTCATACTATTCCTTCAAAAACAAAACCCGACCACTGGGAATCGTCTTTCGCAAAAAAACCTCGACCGTCTATGAGTTCATGCAACGGACTGGGGATATCTCGACACGCAAGTGAAATCTCAGTTCCACGGCGCCCTCTCCGCTACGAACCTCCGTTGAATTGCCGGCAAGGAGGAAGGAGCTTTGTTTGTCCCGCCTCCAGCATCCCAGATTCGACGACGGCTCAAAGTCTCCGGAACCTCGGCCAAAGCACAGCGAGAGGCACGGAGGCCGTGCGTCTTAGAGACGCGCCCTTCTCACTCTGTCAAAGACCATAACCATGACGTGCGAGATCGCGCCCTGACGCCAAAGCGCGAGTCAGCCTCAAGGTTGGTGTGGGTTGACAACGCGGAGAGGGAATGCGGCCACTCACGTTGAGGAAGGAGACGTTCATGTCCCGGGCAGAGTACCCCCTGGCCAGGTTCCTGCGCACGTAGACGTCGTAGTCCTTCACGATGCGGGCCACGAGGTCCGAGGTGGAGATGCCGTCCGTCCGCTGAGTGGCCAGGAACATGCCCCGCTCCTTGATCAGCTTGTACACGTCCTCCTCGTTGCCCATCGTGTATGGGATCTCATCGTGCGCCACAAAGTCAATCTGCATGCGCAAAAGACATCCGCGGGCGCACATTACGCTACCCTCTAAAAGAAAATTACGGTCGCATTTTGTAAACAAAATTAAGGTCCAATCTCTCCAAAAAAAAAAATGCCCCTAAAAAAAAAAATTTTTTTTTTTTTTTAAAATTTTTTTTTACAGGTTTGTCTAAAATAAAATGTTTGTTAAACAAAAAAGCATGTTTTGCCCAACATCCACAGGGCTAAAATTTCAGTTTTGCCAACAAATTTAAAAATTCGCACTGTAGCATTAATATTAGGCAGAAGATGTTTTGCTCTTTTCGAAGAACATTCATTTTGAGATATGCCCATCATTACCAGGTAGAAAATATTTTTTGCTTCCTAGATTTACCTTTTTTTTTTTTTTTTAAGTATAATTACATTCACGTCTTGTAACTAAAATTATTGTATTATCTCAAAAGCATAAAAACGTTCACGTGTCGTAGAGACACCCCCGTTCCCCCGAAAAATCGCCATAATGCGAGTCGTCCACGATTTATTTATTTATTTATTTTACATATTTGCAAAAACGACCCGCAAAAACGACAGCAAATACAGCTTAATATAAAAAAAAAGAGAAAAACTTGTTTGTGAAACATGAATGGGTAACAAATCAGCAGTCTATTAATTAAATGTAAAATCAAGTTAAAAACGTTTCAGCCTTTCTACTCTGGTGAAGAAGGAAGAGAACAGCGGAGCTGTATCTTCTGTTTTCGGCGGTGGCTTTCCAGGCGAGCGATCTGCCCTTCTTTTGCAAGGGATTCTGAAGAGCTCGACGCAGTGGAATGTTGGCACTAGCATTTACCGTATGCACGAACAAACAATGTTTGTTCATGCATACGGTAAATTTCGAGGTAAATTGGGGACCACGAAGAAAACGTCGGAGTACCCCAACTTCCCGTCCTTTCGCACCGTCTTTTCCAAATATGAGAACCGAAATTTTTGGATTTGAAAGGCTAGAAAGAAACACCAACACCCTCACTTCCAAAGAGCAGCTGCCTCTACAATTCTGCAAAACAAATCCCGTTTCCAGCAAACTGAGCAGATACCCACTAGCGCAGAAAGGAAACTGAATAAGCTGTCGGAAGGAACCTGCGACAAAGAAAGCACACCGACCTTGTGCTCTTCGAGGAAGGCATTGTCGAGCACCCACGGAGCGTCTCGGACCACTTCGTCGACGTATCTGCAGTGCCGGACTGCTTCGTAGCGTTCTGAATCCGTCATCACCGTCTTCCCCTTCATGGCATGTGTGAGTTCGTCGCTGTTCACTGCGAGCAGATACGCAAAAATTAGAATGTCGTCGAAATGACACCGTTCTCACAATGGCTGCTAATCCTATAAAATAAGCGGGCAAACAAAAAATGTGTTTCGGGGAAAGCGATTGGAAATTGGCAAATTTTTCTGTTAATGGCCAATGCCAAGGTACGTCCGGAGGAAATTGACACAATCCGGATATCCTGCAGTTTAGCGTACTAGTGGGTAGTGGTCTTCGATCGTGGCTTTTATTAACCGTCGTGTCCTCAAGTTCAAAAGTGTAGATACCTTACATGTTTGGGGAAACTAGAAACGAGTACCATACTATTTCCCAACGTATATAAGTCGAATTGTATTTCCTCAAATTCTTTTGTAGGGGCATCTTATAGAACAACTTATGTGTGGTTTTTAATAACCGTCGAACCAGCTGCAGCTTAACACAGCCACAAGGGTTACACTTCTCGTTGGTGACTAGAATGCAGCTCCCACTTGTGCTTACATTGCAGTCGCAACACACACATGCGGGCCCATCGATGCCGTACCGCAGAGGCGACGGTGCAAAGCGCAACTTAAGCAAAACTTTTCCGAGAAAACGAAGGTTAATGAGGGACTTATAGACTGGAAAATATGGTGTCCAACAGACTTCAATTCTGTCTCAAACGGGAAGGTGAAATAGTCCTCGATCGAAGCAAAACCTTAAAGGCGTGTTCACACCCCGAGTAGTCTGCTTTATACATTGTTTCAGCTGAAGTCCAGACGAAGCCGATGCTACAAGCGTGAGGTCCGGGCTTTCAGCATCCCTGCCAAGCACGTATGCGCTCGTGCAGTGCAAGCACTGTTCAGGGCCACATGCTCGCGCTTGTAGCATCGGCTGCGTCTGGGCTTGGGCTGAAACGGACTCTAGAGACTGCCATCAAAACTCTAAAAAGTCTAAATCGCGTAAAACTTTGAGTGTAAAAAAAAGGAAGCGTGCATGCCGCACATGGAGTTACTATAATTTATGTTAGAGGTTCAGCTGGCATTAGTGTGGTGCTGCAAATTAAAGCAGACAGCAACCAGTCTAAAACTGATTTTCGATAATGCCTTCACACAGGGGAAACTGGGTGCATTTTTTTCAATGTCCTCGATTAGAGGACTATATATTACGAAGAATTCTAATGTAAGCAATACAGTCGCCGACCGATATTTCCGACATCGATAGTTCTGACTTGGTCAATATTTCTGACGTAAAAGAGGAACCGTGACCTACTCGATACAAATGGTGCACATCCACGGCCGTTATTTCGGACAGCCTAAAGTCTGAAAGGTAGATTTTTCTGACAAAATCGTCCTGAGCGATCAGCGGGAAAACACTGCCGAGGAGTTGCCATTTTAGAATAAGATTCTATTTTGGCTGCACATGAATTGGTTTGGTTTGGCAGTGCTACTTCAGTACTAAGTCCTAACACTCGGTGAAGCTATGCTACAGATTTTTTTTTTCTCTAGCTGTGCGTCATTATTGTCATCATTGTAATCATTTTGCTTTGTTCATTCGCCATTCTGCAGTCGTAGACCTAGCGCCTCTCATTTCATTTCGGTGAATCGTGTTTTCGGACTACACTGCTAAGTGTCGCTAAAAAGCGGGGAGAGAACTCGACCATAACGCTAGAAAAAAAGACAGCGATTCTCAAGCAATAGAAAGTGACTGAACGCAAGCAGAGGCGTAACCTGAAGCAAGGCACTATTGAGAGCTTTTTTAAGCCCGGTTAGATTTAAAAAATGCACATTTTTTTAACCTGCAGATTTTTCAGACTGCTTTATTATTCGGATGTTTCTTCGATCCCTGCGAAGTAAAAAAAATTGGTTCGCATCCGTAGCTAGAAACATTCCTCAATCCCTTAGACAAAAACATGGGTCCGTTACGGTGTTTTTCTTTTGAATTCATAATGTTGAAGGGATGGTGAACCGAAATTTGGATTTCAAAAAAGCAATGCTGGAGATGTAGGCAGGACGCTACAATCCCTACAACACTACTAGTAAGGCGATATCTCAAATGAACGGCCGTATTTTTGGGAAAAAAGTAGAGATTGAATCAGGCCGACGAGGTGCCTGACGTCAAGATACCTAGTTTCCTCCTCTCTTCGCTTCACTCCCTCAAGGCCGCGAGGAGGAGAAGACGCGAGGCCGTTCCCTCTCCTTCTCGGAGAAACATGACGTCAAAATTCCTGCCAAATGCGCCTCTTTTTTTGAAAAAATAGGATCATCCGTTTGAGATATCGCTGTATGAGTGATGTTTTGGTGTTTGTAGCATCCCGTTGCACGATTTTGCTGCGTGTTTTGGGGAATCGAGATTTCGGTTCAGCATCCCTTTAAAGGAGGACATAAACCCAAGTTTCAAAACTTTTTGAAAAAATATGTTTTTCAATTTTAAGGTTTTTGGCATTTAAAGCATATTATACACCCTTACACTAAATTTCATTACCACGCACCAAACAGCTATGTGTATATAAAATATTTTTGACACATTGTGAGGCAGTAAGGTGCCATTCCCACCGGCAATGTAAGCAGTCGCGCGATGCAACTGGATCGCATCGCAAAAAGTTATATGGTCACACCGGCGTGCGTGATGAACGAGTCCAATGCCTTTGCAGGCGTGTCGTTTCTCGAAAACTCTCGCTCCGAACGCCGTTTATTGGCTCCGCTGCTCCGTGACTAGATCGAATTGTAAAAACGTTGGGTCGAATAGCGACTGCTCAAATTGCGTCGCTTTTTTGCTTGCAATGGTCGCTTTTGAGATGAAAGTTATCGCGCGACTAGATCGCATCGCCGGTGGAAACACAACTTAACAAAGTAAAGGAGTGCAATGTTTGAAAGCATTTTTCTCAGTTCCACTTTTTGTTGAAAAGTAATGAAAGTGCACAATAAAGATGAATACGAAGACGGAGAGTCAAACAGGACGAGCGCTGACTATCAACTGAATTTTTATTGGAAAATAAAAACGGCAAAATAGAAACTGCAAAAACCACAAATGTTGCAGAAATGTGACTAGTCGGCAATGACTCGGCCACCACACGTGTCAATAAAATCCACTTCTTTTTTGTGAAGGAAAAGTGAGGGCTGACTAATGCACTTATCAGGACATTCCTTCTTTATCATGTATGCTTCCAGTACCTCTCTCGCCACCTTTTTTTTACCTCTCCCAACGATTATAGTGCCTTGAAAGTTGGCAATGCAATGGCAATCTCTGCAATGAATGTGCAAGTGTGCTCCCGTTGTTGAATGTAGTGATAAATCATGTTTACGCAACCGTTCGTTCAAACACCCTCCGGTCTGGCCTATGTAAACCTTGTCGCAGCCCAATGAATTTTTTTTTTTTAAAGAGAAAGGCAAAGATAAGCGGCAACGCACAGTCAAGCATGTAAAGAAATACACGGAATGTGCGGTGGGCGAGATATATAAAATTCAATTGGGCTGCGGCATGGTTTACATAGGCCAGATCGGAAGGTGTTTGAATGAACGGTTGCGTGAACATGATTTATCACTGCGTTCAACAACGGGAGCAGATTTACAGATTCATAGCAGAGATTGCCATTGCATTCCCAACTTTCAAGGCACTATAATCGTTGGGAGGGGTAAAAAAAAGGTGGCGAGAGGGGTACTCGAAGCATACATGATAAAGAAGGAATGTCCTGATAAGTGCATTAGTCAGCCCTCACTTTTCCTTCAGAAAAAAGAAGTGGATTTTATTGACACGTGTGGTGGCCGAGTCATTGCTGACTAGTCACATTTCTGCAATATTTGTGGCTTTTGCTGTTTCTATTTTGCCATTTTTATTTTCCAATAAAAATTCAGTTGAGAGTCAGCGCTCGTCCTGTTTGACTCAACGTCTTCGTATTCGTCTTTATTGTGTGCTTTCACTACTTTTCAACATGCATAACCAACTCGCCTGCATTAGTTCCACTTTTTGCTGCAAATTTCATATGAAGGAATCTTTCGTTTGAAGGTAAAATTACTCTGATATCTCAATCAAGATGTTTCTGAACTGAACTTTACTGGCTGTAGTCTGTACTAAAGACAAGAGCTGAGAAGAATACAAACAAAACAAACAAGTTTGTTCGTCAACATAAACAGATCAGAAAGCTAAACGACTTTGTTTAGCTTTTTGATCTTTCCTATGCTTCCAATCCTTTCCATGGTAGGTTTTCACGTTTTCAGAAAGGCTATTGTTTAGGCCCAAACTTGTTAATTTTATGTTTAATTGGGTACTATTGGTTAGATAGGGCAGAAATAGAATATGCATAGATGTGTCTGGTTGAGTGCGCACAAAATCAGTTGAAAGTCAGTGCCTGTCTGTGTTGTACATTTAGTAGCTTCCTTCGCCCATGCCTAGTTCATGCTTTTTATATCTTTCAGACCATTACAAACCAATTAGCTCAGATTAAAGGGGTAACAAAGAATGTTATTTTCTGCAAACATTTGCAAACGGTTCGGAAACCACATTGAAAAGAGAGCGCGCACAAGCGTGTAAATCGGGCACAAACCACCGACGATGAGATAGACATTGGGGAAGGCGGATTTTGCTTGCATGAGTTGTCTTGCATGACCCTGGTGAAACAGGTCGTAAATTCCGTCCGCATAGACCCTGACTGGACGGGGCGCTGGAAGGAAAACAAAAATGTGGGCACCAGATTACCACCAATTTCTCTCTGGGAGAACCACGGAGCAAACCCATCATCGAAAAGGTTTGTCATGGATCCTCAAACAGGAATGTGACACTATAAAGTTGCTCACCAAGAGCAACAAGAAACGTAGTATGCTGAAATTTCTCTCGGAAAAATATTTTAGCATCCATAGTGTCGTGCCAAAACAGTTATTTCTTTATTTTACTTCCACTTTGACCCTGCTGTGCCCTTTAAAGGGCAATCCTGGTCAATATTTTTGAGTTCGGGATTACGACTGTTCTCAGCTAAGGCAGTGTTCCTGAATTACGTGCGAGGTATAATTTTCTTTCCCAATATTGTATGTAGTTTCATAAATATCACGGCTCAAAGTTTGGTTTCGCGCATCTACGGCAGAAACCGAAGCTATCTGCTAGAGAAATGGCAACACTGATCATCAGCCATACGGCTGCGACGTGACATCATTATGGTGCTACAGTACGCGTGACAACCAATCAATCGCACCTCCATTGCGATGCGACGTCACAGGGGTGCTGCGCCAGTGTTCCTCGACTAAAAGCCAACTCGCTTGCCGCCCACTAAAGAGCAGCTGGTCGCATCTTTAAAACATGTTTTAGTGAAGTGTGCGGCTTCCTTTTGACGCAAGATTTCGACTGGGATCATATTTCGTGACACTAAAGCGATACCAGTCATTTATTTTGGTTTTGCTTTCGACCGGACTTCCCTTAGGGGAGATGCAAGTAAAACATGGCAATATTTTGAAAAAAATTTGATTTTGGGTTTTGTTTTATTATACTTTAATCTTTATTTTTGATGTATAAAGTAAATAGTGCCGGTAATGATCGCGAAATTAGTGAAATACGCATTTGAAGACCTCCAGGCAACTCAGAAAGACATGAATTTGAGCCATTTTTTACCGCGTGGTTCTGTAAGTTGCGACGTCGCATTGCCATCATATTTACATTGACAATTAGGCCTAGCCGTCTCCTCTCCATTGTAGTCTGTTACTTCAATTTCTCGTGGGAATTTATTAACAAAGTATTATTTTACGCTCTGCAAAGGAGTATAGCTACATATCTATGGTAACATTCGAACGCGTTTTTCTTTTTATAAAATTTTGGGGCATCTTCGCAGTTTCTGCGCAAGAATTTATGTTCTTAATATTGTCCCATCGCAAATGTTTGGCACGCATATACTTCTGAATATGTAGAATGCAACTATCTAGGTTGGTTTAGAACATATATTTTTTTACACTTATAGAAAAAGTTAAGGAACTTTAGTTAGACCCTCATAAAGGCATTTTCGCTATTTTTAAATACTTTAACCCGAAAGAAGCGTCACACACTTTATTTTTATTGTTCGTTGCACTCGGTGGATTAAAACAAGCAAATTAATTTACTTTCCTACACTTCTTAAAGCGCATTGCCACACCTCGTGTGTGTGTAAGAACACGTCTTTTTCTGCACAAACATCGCAACGAGAACCTAGAAAAGGAAGCTGTATCAAATGTAACACCAGCTTTATAAAGAAAAGATTAAAGGGACACTGACACCCCCCAAAATTATTTTTTAATTTTTTGCCAGGCGCTTCATTATGGTGTCGGAGGACTACCCAATTAATATTTTGCAACAGAGTAGCGTATTTTTTTAATAAAGCCAAAAGACGCAACTGCTCGAAACCGAAACCGAAACCCGACGGAGGTCGGAGAAGTGGAGAGGAGAGAGTGACTGGCGGAAGTCACGTGGCTACACCCGACCGTGTTTTTTTTTTTTTTTCCTCCTTCCCGTAGCAGACGACATGCGGCGTACCGGAACTGTTCACCGAGCGATTCTTTTGCAGTTATGTATGTTCCGCTCGTTGTTCTGTACTCCAAGATGAGTTGTTTTGTACATTGAGGAGTTGGAGATGAGTAGTGAGTGCTCGTGGTGAATTTTGATCGGCTCCGAAAAGAATACACCCAAGATGTTGCGTGAAGAGCTGGCTCACATGCCCTGCGTCCGAAACAGAAGTGGCATTGTGCGACAGTTTCCGAAAGATCAAAGGGATCGGGACCAATGGCTGGCTGCAATTCCTGTAGACCATTTATGGGCACCTCGGAAAGCGGACGCTACCTGATTTATATGCTCCTTGCATTTTGTGGAAAGTGATTACATTGAGTTCGCAGGTGTCAAAAAGGAAATCCCGTACCATTTAATTCAGCGACGTGTCGTCCACAACATTTGTTTCTTATTTTTTGTTTCTTCAGTGATAATTCTTTAAAAGGAAAAAGAAATGTAGAAGCAAAAAATATTTTAAAAAAAGAAAAAAAAAAAGGTTTCACGGGGGATCGAACCCGGTCCTACCGCGTGTGAAGCGGACGTCTTTCCCACTGAGCTACTGGGGCATGCCGAATTTGGAGAATCTCTTCCCTTAGTAATAATTCAGCCGATAAACTGTAAGTTGGAAAGTTTGCTGCCGATTTTCCTCTAGCAAAAGCGGGTCGAAGTCGGGATGCACCGCGCATTGGCGACATTCTCACGTAGTAAAGAAATCGTACGCGTGCATACTCAACTCGAAGTAGACACGTCGTGCTTGACGTTTGCGCGAACGATGTCTTCAGCCACGAGAAGGGAGCGACGGCTCGGCGACGTCTTCGTGCAAATCGGCTTGGTGATCGGGCGTGTCGTACGGGATGAATACCAGTTCTTTTGATCAGTCCCAAATTTCTCTTTTAAAGGCAGACAAAACTCGCCGATACCGCGAACGACAGTTCTGAAATAGAGGTCCCACGCCCGTCGTCCGCTGCCATCGCCGTCCCTGCGAGTCCCACGATACGCGAAACGACACACGCACAGATTGCTTCCGGTTGTCTGTGGAACTTTTTTTTCAATCAACGTATTTGCAGCTTTTTAGAAGCCACAAAAAATGGGTTTCATATTTTTTTCTATTTTTAATATTGAGTGTGTGCCTTCAGTGACCCACGACTTTGATTAAATTTGGTGGTCGCATCGATACCTTAGAAAACGGCCCGTGACCGCGGAAAAGAGAGTGAGCGAGACTCGAACCGGCCAGTTCTTGATCGGCGGTTTTCGGGCGGAAAGAAACCGAATTTCGAGCCGTAAATTTTGTTCTGGGTAGTTGAGCTCTCATATGTCACGTACAACTAAAAACCTCGGCGAGCATAAATACCCTGTCAGTGTCCCTTTAAGCACCATACATTGTGAAAATTTCCTTTCAATACTGTAAACAATAAAAAATAATTTCCTCCTGGCACACGTCTAGTTACACATGATACAAAAGACACTGCATTCGCTGCAGACACAACATTACCTGCAGACATGGTGCGAGCACGAATGTTTGCTTCGTACATGATTCAAACACGTCTTCTGCAGACAGTTGTATGAAAGGCCTCGAGCGGCAAGTGTCTTTTGCACCATGTATTACCGGAGCGACCGCAGCTATCATTGACCATTACTCCCCGCTATCACAACGGGGAGAGGGGTACACAAAGAGTCGAAGAATGAGCGTGGGGAGTTGACACAGGATATAGTGAGAATGGCAGCAGGAACAAAAAATGGCGGGTAACAGTGCGACGGAATTTAGACCTTAAAGGGGTGGCCTAGTCCCGGAGACGGATGGTGCGACGCTATCGGTTAGTTTTCCTTCCGGATTATCATTTGGTCGTAGAAAAGGATACAAAGAAATTTTAGCCGGAGGATTTTTTGTAGGGCCACTTGTAATGGCCTTGAAATGGCCTTTGATGCGGGCAATACTCGTTTAGGTCAAATATAGCACTTCGATCTTGTACTCTTTCTATCCTGTCAATTCGTAAAGGGATCTCAGACCATGCGAGCATATTCTAGAATTGACTAAAGAGATGAGATGGAAAGTACAGAATAGTCTCTAGCTCTTTGTTGCGTTATCGAAAAATACATCTTAAGAAGTCCGACATCCTGTCGGTTTTTAGTAAAGTAATCGGTATGCATGTTTCACTCTAAATTCTCGGAGAAAGGAACATTTAACTAGCAAATGCTGGAAATACTTTCTAATGAAGTCATATAACACATACACTCATTGACAAGGTGACATTAGCATTGTAACTACTATATAAATATAATGCGCGCATCTGATGTGAAAATAAATTACAAAAGAGTCTAACGGATTGTAAAGCAGTGCACATTGTACGCCAGACTTTTCCCGATTGAAACTTCAGACCACGTCGTGCGTCAGTAACACTGGGATTTCATTCCCAGCTTTTTCTTCTAGATGGACTAAGCCAACATTAGGAATTCAAGAGTGAACTACTCCCAGGCGAAATGTGGGGTGACATACTTCTTTTGCAGCTTATGCTAAGCTGAATGTAATGTCTCTTTGGGACTTTCATCATTTGCTCGCACATTACGAGCAGAGACAACTTGTCAAAGCATCGCAACTTTTCGCAACACAGATACTCAAAAAAAAGAGGGATCTCCATCAATTCTTTGACAGGCCCCGATAGTCACCCACAATTTACTCTGACATATTTTTACCCTGCCAAATCTCTCGATTCGTTACCCTCTTAGATAACAAACTCTTTGATTGATCGAGTCATTGTGGAGCATGTTGCGACAATATGTCGCCTAATTGTTACGCACACTATCTGCTTATTGCAAACAATTTGAGGACCTCTTACCGTATCCGTGTTACAGTTATAACATTAATAAAAACACTCCATTAGCCTCAAGAAGCATCACGAATGCTGGTAGGGAATCGGCGTCCTTAATTAAAATGCGACACATAAAGGGTGCACCCTGCACCGAGTTCATACCTACCTCAGGCATGTTTCTATAACGCTTCATTTAAATTTAATTGCAGGTTTGAAAGCATCACTGCAGGTGGCACTTACGCTACAAACGTATTAAATGAGAAGAAAAATAAAATAAGTCGCTATAGCACTCTGGGGGAGTAAAGTTTGCTTAGGCTGCGGGTGGCTTTGCGGATGTCACACTCCGGGCGCGGAAATTGCGACAGACGAGCTCGCTCCGTTCCTCACACCAGACGACTCCAAGAAGGGCCCTCACCGAGTCCAGACGAGGCCATTTCTTTGGTAATCTTTGTGGAGTAGTCACACCTTTCGCATTCTGCGATCGCCTGCGGTTCGTCGCTGAACGGCGCCGGGAAGCACAGCGTCTGGAAAAGAGGAATAAAACGTCAGAAACGCACGTTAGTTCATGGAGACCGAGGTCCACGCTATACGTTGCACTGGAACGCGAGGAGGCCAAACGCATTTGGTCTTGCCCCGACGCAAATGTCGGAGCCTTCGGTTGTGCCCCTTGGTTGGCGACATCGTCCCAAGACCTTGAATCGCGCAATCGAAATCGAAACGATCACCGCAATATCCCGACTCATTGCCCACTCTCCCGCTGCCTGAAATTACAACAAAAAAAGAAGAGGTTGAATGGGTGATGTTTCTAGGTTTTTTTTTAGAAAAAGCTAAAAATAAAAAAAAACTATCCTATCTTTTTTTTTTTTTTTTTTTGTTAATTGTTTTTAGTGTTTTATACAGGAAATGCTCATGAAACAATGTTTGAGTGTCACCAAATTCTTTGCTTGCATACACGCAAAGTATACCGCCAATCAACATTTTTCTTATTCTGGCAAAAATGTGAATGCTAGTTTCGTGAAAGTTTGTTTAGATACTGCAATGTTTTGCCTGTAGACTCCCCCAAGATTCCTAGCCTAGGCTGACATGCAAGTTCAAAAGTAAACAAAGCAAAAGAGAAAAAAACAAAACAAAAAAAAACACCATGCATGGCAAGCGAGCAGAGGGGAAAGGGGGAAACAAAAAGTCTGTCTTTTGGAGCACTGAGGCAAAACAATTTCTTCTTGGAGCACCTTAGAAGCAAACTGATATCATTTTAAGAAAGAATTTCAGCCAGTTGTACACAGTAATGGATACAGGGGGACGTCAGTCCGCTATCTCAAGTATCAATTCACGTGTCGCGCAGTTTGTAGCAGGTTTATCTTCTTTTTATCATTAATTTTTGATCAAGTTTTGCTTTCTCATTAAAAAGAAATATCCCATCTTACGTTTTTCACCATTTATCTCTTAATTCTGGGTGGGCACCCTTATGGGATTATACGGCAACTGCCTAATTTATAGTGCAGATTAATAATAATAAAAAAATTTTGCCAAGAAAAAATTAAAACACCAGACACAAAAAGTTGTACATCATGAAGAGGTGCACACTTGCATTTACGAACACCACCGGAGTGCCCATGTTTCGTAGCAAGTGGTGTAGGTAATAACATTCGGAAGTTTTAGAAGAGCATACCAAAAGCCTTGCATATGCAAAAACTGGCGACATCGCACCGCGTTTTGGATTGGCGCATGGCGAAGACGCTATTCCTTTGCTTACGCAAAGCTTTTAGGTTCGCTATTCTAAAAATTCCAAGAAGTTCCATCATATTGAGACAGAATGACTGGGACCAGGTAAATTCTCCTAAATAATAATAGTTGCTTGTTACATTACGTGAATTCTATAAAAAAAATCTCAAACATGGCCCCTTGAGCAACTGTCTGAAATTTGCAAACCCATATCTTACGAGATATTTATATCGCATGGTCAAACTTTCTGTTATATATATTTTACCTACAGCTAAAAAAAGATGTGGATATGAAGTCTTTATAAAAACGATTGCTAAGATATTGATTCACAAACACGGGATCAATGCCAAAAAACAAACATTTCTGACAATATTTAAAAAAAAAAAAGCTTTATCTTTTATCTTTGTCGCCATCGGTCGGGGCAGAAGCTTTCGTAACGTTGCCTGTTCCTATGCTGCAGTTTACCTTATGACGGACGGCAGAAGACGCTACGAACCGTCGAAGTCAATCCATTGCCGTGCGGGCGTCACGTGACCTATGACGGGGGCACACGTGACGCGTTGTAACGTGATATGTTGAATTGGCGGAGAAGACTCGTAACATCCGCTCAGTGTGTAATCAACCAGGTACTACACCCAAAGGGCCTAACGTGCTGCCGAGTTCAGTTTTCATACGCAATATCAGCCACATCACTAAAAAAACAGCTCAGTTTTTTTTTTATAGTGTTTAGTGATGCCTGCACCTTAATATGACCGAGTATGACCACGGTGTCATGCAGTGCCCGAGTACCACTACTCATTAAAAAAAGAAACCCTCCACCGTTAATCGACTGCAACATAGACCAGGCTAAACATTTATTTTTCTAATTTAAAACAAAATATTGCAACAGCTGTCTGCAGATCTGGAATTACCGGTTGTTGAGCGTCCCTCAGATATAGTTTGAAAAAAATTGACAATTCATATTTTTTTTTAAATGCCACTCAAAGCACGCATAATTTTGACTTTTCCCATTTCAGACACTCTCTGGGCACAACTTTAAAAAAAATCACTTATAACATACACTATATATTTCATGAAATATGCACAAAGCATGAAATACTTTGCATGCAAAGTTTCAGCTCGAAAACATAATTCTAGAATACCTTAAAAATTTACTAACAAATCCTCTAAACATTGGAGTTGCTCAAGAAGCCAGGTTAGCCAATTTTTTTCTCCTTAAGTATGACCATAAATAGCACTAATTTAATTACCTCTAGAAGACCTGTTTGCGTGCATTATGCATAAAAATATTAATGATCTAGAAAGTTGCATTTCTTATTCTTGGGAACCTCAAAGTTGTGTTAAAAGGCAATTGGGAAAGTTCTTGTTTCCTCTCGGACTCAATTTTTTTCTCATGAAATCAAGGAAGTGTCTTGCAAAAGCAAAATCTGCTCTGTTGTGGACGGACATGTCTTGCTACTTTGTATAAAAATTTAATTGAAAACAAAAAATACATATGACACCCCTTATACTGTCCTTATCTGAACACACCCCTATGACAAAACCAAGGTCAAACAGAAAACAAATGTGTCCTGCAGGACATGCAACACACATGGGGTGACCACTTTCCTGCTAGCGAAATGCGGGACACGCAAGAGGGGGGGGGGGGGGAAATTTATTAAAACACGCACCACAAACCCAGGCTCTGTTAACACATTTCATGTCCTGTGCTGTTTATACACTTGATAACTGTATTGCGCCTATTAAGCTCAATTATTTTCACTCCCAGCGATATATCCTTTATGCCAAATGTGTCATTAGTGTGTCGAAGTTGAAAATATAAAAATCGACTATAGCAGAACTCAATGCATCACATGGAAATAAGAAACAGTAAATCTTTTTCGGGTTATTGTTTCCTGTCAACGCTTACTTTTATCAACATGGTCCTATACAAATTTTTTTAAATTATATTCTTTTTCGACCGTTGCGAGTTGTAGGCTTTTTGCCTTCTATGGCTGCCTTCACTAAAACAAAAATCCACAGCAACCCTTTTGCGTTGACACAGTGATTTCAAAATAATTACAATATTTTATATTGAAACTTTTGCTGAGCAATTCTTCTTAGAAAATTTTGCCAAAGGGAGAGGCACAGCGGAGCATGCGCGTCGGTTCTCCTGTCCTGCAAGAACGACGGTCGCTTCCCGCAATGCTTGGACAAAAAATGGTGTACCATTTCAATCCCCACGATCACCAGCGACCTCCGCGCTTCCCAGTGCCACGTTGTTCGGCAGCACCATCAGTTGCGGAGTGAAATTTACGGCAGTGTGAAATGCGGGAGATTTTGAAGATTTTGGAGTTTCTCGCGGGACGCGGGACACGAGCCCTCAATGCGGGACAGTCCCGTGAGTCGCGGGACGGGTGGTCACCCTAAACACACAGTAACTGCACTTCACCATTAGAAAGACACCGCCTCTGACTGGTGCCATGAAGGCTACTTTGTCGACGGACCAGAAAAGGACGGCATCAGCTAAAGTGCTCAAATTTAGACGCCACAACTGTGGGAAAAGGGCACACTTAGTTTTCTCAGGCATTTTTTTTTTTTTTAAATTTTGTATTGCACTTTTATGTAGTAGTGGATATTTTAACTTTGTTATCTTTCTTTCAAAATAATTTTGAATAGAACTATTAAAGAAAAAATGTTTAAACACATATTTCAAACTCTTGTTTCTTTTGTGAAGACTGGGTGCATTCTCATGCATCATAGCATGTCATATATTGACTATAACTCTTGAAATAAAATCTATCTGTTGCATCTATCGTTCCAAAAGCACCACTTTTCCCCATGATAAGGAAGGAGTTAAAAGGCAGTCTTGCAAACATTCTTGCCAACGCTTCGGAGTTTTTCTATTTTGCCCCTCATAGTTTGCCCAAGGCCGGACAACTTCACGATATAGGATGGCCTTGCCCTTCCACTCTGCCTACTCTGCACAAATCCCAAAGGTCATCGAAGCTACATTATGTCCCGTTCTTGCGCTAAGTATGACAGACCACCGACACCACTGCATAGTCCCCCCCCCCCCTCCTCCCCCCTGACTGCTCAGCATCCCCCTAGTGGATTTAGCCTACTCGTAGTAAGCACCTATTACAAACACGGGAGGCCCTTTCCCCCATTTCCAACTGCAACTGGCAAACCGATGCACCTGGGATCTAAACGCTTCGATAAAATCGTTCATGCTAGCCGAATTTGAGAACTGCAGCGCGAGCGTGGCCATGAACAGTCCCTTATCACGTCGCTATCATCTTCTGACACGGCAAAAAGAAAGCGAGACGACGGGAGTCAATGTTCATCACTCCGGCAAAAGAATGCCAAGGCTACGGACACGCAGATACCGCAAGTGCTCCGGATCTTCACCGGTCGTACCACTCTCACGCGAGGTATCACCCGCCACTCCAACCCAGCGAGATTTTGCACTAAGCACTGCAGCAATTCATAAAACTAGCTGCATGTATTAAGCCCCACAGTGGCCATCTTTGAAATGCTTAATTAATATAACGGTTCCCCTTATGCCTACCAACAATTTTTATCTACAGTCGCCGACCGATTTTTCGGACTTTGCAGGGACCAAAGAAACGTCCGAATAATTGAGCAGTCCGAAAAATCGGCAGACTAAAAAACATGCCTTTGTTATGGCCAAGCGGGCTTAGAAAAGCCATCGATAGTGCCTTGCTTCAAGCTACGCCTCTGCTTGCGTTCGGCCACTTTCGGCTAGCTTGAGAATCGCTGTCTTCTCTTTTAGCATTAAAGCTGAACCGGATGCCAGCGA